AGAATTAGTTTTTTTAACTTAATTACTGTCACGTGTAGATGAATAAGGTGTTTTCTTTATTTAATTTAATTGCTTTGACTTTAGAATTTGTTGGATGGTTGCCACGTGTTTTGGGATAGAGATAGTAGAGAGAGATAATGATATAGTACAATCTTCACAAATCCTTTTAGCATGATACCCGTGATTGAGTTCTATCAAATCAATATCTGTTTAAGTAGAACTTTATCACCTACTCTAACCTCCACCTATAAATAGAGGCATGACGGTAGCTATTACACCACACAAATCAAATAAGTACACACAAATTCACAGTGCAGAGGGATCTCTGGAGGAGACTTTGAAACATGAATTCATTCTTGAATCAAAAATTCGTGTGATCTAACAAGGTAGGACACTATGTGCAGGTGGATATGTCTTTGCAATATTATAATTTCTTTTATATGGTTTATTTCACGAAATGCCAATTGACCTACGGGTCCCAATGAAATGAAATGAAATGTGAGATCTCCTTCAGGTTTTCTCAAATGCTAGAGCTTTCGAGTTTCGATTGATCTCCGATTGCTCTTGATAAAATAATGGTATGGAATGTTATAGATTTATATTTAAAAAATTATTATATTGTTATAGACGCACGTATCTTACCGGATTTAAAATACTCACCCCTTCAAAATTCAACTTCTCAGGTTAGATCGGTTCAACGTGAATGGTGGCTGAATGGTGCGCGGATTGCCAAATAAAACATTTTCAAGGGAACCATCGGTAATTTTTGTTATGTTCAAAGATTAGTATTTCTTAGATTTCTATTGAACGCTTAAAGTTTTTGATTTAACGTTTTGGATTGATTCAATTTGATGTTATGAAACCTTAAATTTTATTAAAGTGTATATCTTCAATTTAAATATTTCCACTTTATGTATGATTATGAAATGATATTGGTAATACCCGAGGATTTAAGTCATTAAAATTTGGGGCGTTACAAGTGGCCTCTGAAAAGCTTTTGAGTTTTTTCTTTGAAAAAAATGAAAAAAAGAACAGAAATTTCCACACTAATAAAAGGACATTTATACTTATTTAGCATAAATGACATCTCTCTCAATATTGATTCTACAAAATTCAAGCTCATTGCTCTTTCTTAAAGTGGCCAGTAATTAAATTTTTGATATATTGATTAAGATTTTTTTTTCCTTTTGATATTTGATGAAGACTTAGCTTTTTTTTATTTCTTATTAGATGATTAATGGTGATTTATGTCTTTGTGTAGCATTTTTGTGTCCAAATGATTCATTCGCTCCTTTTGACAAGAATAAATTAATTTGACTTGGTGAATATGATCCCAAAGATTTTTAGGACTTGATGATCAACTTGAAACATATATTATCTATATTCGCACTAATGAAGATTTTAGAGGAATACAAGTCTTTAGTGATCTTGCATAGAAGTTGATTGTGAAGAAAAAAAAAAGTGTATGGCTTGTGACATTGACATTAATTCTTCAAGTTGCTACATAGAGTATTTTCTACATTGTATATTGTCAAGACTCGACTACACAATCGAATTGGAGATATGTGGTTGAATACAGTTTGATTGTCTATATTGAGAATGATATATTTGATGAAATTGTGCAATTATATGACGTTTTGTAAGTATGAAAATGTGTAGGCAATAATTGTAGTAATGTATATATTTTCATTATTTATATATTGTTTCAAAATTTTTTGGCCACTTAAAGAAAAATTCGTGCCTCCATCACTGGAGCAATCATAGTTTGACGATATTAGATATAGCACATACCTTCTGTCCTTCACAAAATTGCATAGTCAAAACCTGGCTGCTTGTGAAATCCTGGAGATGTGATCATGGCAGTGAGCTTAAGATAAGAAGTATGTTTGAGGAAACCAATGTTCTGTTAAAAACTGATACAAAACAATGAATCATAAACCTGGCAGTCATATCATACCCAGAAAACGCGAGGGATCCTGAGCACACTGTGGTTCTTGAAATTTTGGGCAGTTCTTTCTGAGTTATTAGCTTCTTGAATGAAATCTGTACAGCAGTAAAAATATCAAAACGATCTAGCAAATTAAGAAATTAATAGAAAGCAATTACAATGAATTTCTTTTTTCCTTTTTTTCTTTTTCTGAATTTAAGAATGATATGCTGATCAAAATCTGCAGTGCAAAATATGACTTCAGTTCAAACTCAATAATCAAAAACAAAACAAACAAAAAAAATACTTATAGATGGAAGAAAGTAGGGCACTAGTTACTGGATACATGCATGCAATATCAAAGACACTAAATCTTGGCAATCAACATGTTCTGAGGACGGAAAATAACTAAAGCAAATAGATAGGACAATATCTAATGAAAGGTTCCAAAATCAACAATGGTTCCTGACAACCAGAAGCAAATATATGAATTTTCAAAAGAAGATAATAAGAATTTGTTATATTGCATCTCACTATTCAATTTCCTTGCCACAGAGTTCTACAGACACCGTTGAATAGTCTTTTGTTTTTCAACTTTTTTTCTTTTAAAAGAAAAGAACAGAACAAAAAAGAAAAGAAAAAAAAGAAAGAAGAAGAATTAAGAAAGATATTAACCAGCATGTCATTATTGTAAAAAACACCAAATGAAACCCAAGTTTATGTATGGAACAGACTTCGCCTACATTTGGCTCATGTTATAAACTATTTATAAATATTCAAGCCACTTTTTATCCATACATTTCGAGGGATCAAAAAGTACTACACAATTATTTATCAATTGTTTCTATCTATTTATAATTTAAACCATTTATAAACACTTCTTAAACATGCTTTTAGTCTCTCTAAGAAAGGTATGTGACACTTCGTTCTGATAGACCTATCCTGTAAGTTTCCTGGCCATAGTGGGAGGTCAATATCTGCAGAAGGGGGGTGCAGGATGCAGATCGCATAAGATCCAACGTACAGATAGAAACAGGTTAAACTTAACTCAATACAACCATATTCAAAAATTTGTGTAAACAACCAACATTTTATTTCTGTCTCCTCAAACTTAACAAGTAACCTTACGCAACATCTCGCTAGGACTTCAACTTAGAAAACTAGATTTGTGCACATCACCAGAAAACCAAAAAGGATTGCATATTTCCTATAAGATTGCAAAGGATTTCTTACACAACAATATATTATTCCAGTAAACAACATAGAAATGAAACAATTTCCAGAAATCTAAATCTAGCATCCTGTGTCACGATATAACTCACCAAGTTCAGAAGCAATAGATTTTGCAAATTCTGACACCATCCAATTGAACCTATATTCAGGAAAAAACTGGGAAAAGAAGCAACACGAAACCTTTCAAGCCTGAAGCCATATTAGGGAAGGAGCCAAACAACTTGGAATATTACATTATGGTACAGTAGATTATTGTCACTATAACTTTGGACATCTCCATGCATCATGCATTATTAGAAGAGAACCAATCAACCTAAAGAGGGTGCTTGACATGCCCCTTCATCGAATTCTATTGGAGTTTAAGCAACAGTATGAACATGTGACTTCTGAATGCCCAACATAATTGGTTTCTCAAATATCATCAGCAAAAGAAACTAGATTGTACCGAAACATGAATGTTGATTATTTTTAATGGAGGAGTTGGCCAACAATGACAATGGCTATGGTTGTAGGAGCCAGCACAGAAATTAGTGATCGATAAGTAAAAGGCTTTTATGTATTGTATTTAGGTGAAAATTTTTACTTTTTGCAGATGACTTTTTTCGGACCCTGATGGATAAAACACGATAACTACTGAAAGATTTAGTGTTCTATGGTTTGGAACTTGAGGCTTTTATGAGTGAAGACAAAAATGGACTTGGGAACTGCTGATGATTGTGCCACTGGTGGGAGTACACTCATTTGCAATCAGTGCAAGTTATCGAAGCTCGTATGCATGTGAATAGGAATGAAAGATGTAGGCATGTGACTGTGGTCACTAGTGATGGTGTGTCTAAATTAATCGGATGGTGTTGCATTTTCTTGAGCACTGTGAATTTTCCTCTTTACTCCCACCAGATGCATGACAGGTTACCTCTGAACTTGCACAATTTCGAATAAAATTAGGCAGAACAAAAGTATTGGTCCATTTTTAACTGGTCAATGATTGAAGTACACCTGGTGAAAGGAGGCAACAAGAATCTTGTCATGAATTTTTCTAACAAAAATATTACTTCTCTACCCTCCTACAGAGCGAATGAAAAACTGAACAAATGCCATATCAAACAAAGATTTTCCAAAGTTGATTCATGTTTGCACAATATTTTTGGTACATACATTTTTTTTTTTTATCAATCATTTGATGTAGGTGACAAGACACTAATGAACCAAAAGAAAAAAAATAGAATTTAATTGAAATTCACACGTTTGAAACTTTGAGCTACCCATTATCCACCAGCTTACCATTGAGAACGTGTGTTAAATAATCTTAAATAGAGTGCACATATCAAGAATATGTGCTGATTTCTAACTGAAATTTTTTGTCCTGACTAGCTAATTGCCAGCTACATCTAATTTAAAGCTTTTGATAATTATCATCTATCACTTTTATTTACAAATTCCATGTCAATGCGTGGTAGATTTCATGACAAGCAATGTAGCCTATAAGCTTAAGGCAGAGAGGGAAAATAGAGGAATGAAAACAGTGAATCAGATAGCAATATATCATTGATTATTTGCTTTATTGGCAATTTTTGCAGAAGAATTATTTCCCGACCTTTGTATATGCTTCAAAAACGAAAAGGTATTTTAGTACTCGTGTTCAAATTAAGTTTGGCAATCAATTACAAGCCAATTTCAAAAAAAAAGGACAAATTTGAGAGGCATGGTTCATGATAGATTACATATTACAAAACAAAAGAACAAGTTAGAGATGAGCAATTGACATTTTAAGTAAACGAAACCTTTAATTCTTACCCATGCAACTGATTTGGAGAGGAAATCCATGGTTGCAATGTCAAATTTCATCTGATAATCTAATCCTGGATATTGCACCTGTTGTTCAGATAATGCAAAGAAAGCCTGAGCATGCATCATTCCATTATGATTTGTCCAACACAATTAAAGAAATGGAAGGGAGTTCAGGAGGTTTAGTGACACTAGTGCTGACGCCACTGAATAGCTAAGTCACAAAAAAATTGGTTCAAGATAACAACAGAAAAAACTGATTACTACCTATTAAAGCACAAAACCTACAAGTCTAAGCTCAATCTAGTGGATAACACCAATATGAGAAAATGGCTATAATTGATAGAAAGTTAATGACAAGAACAGTTCAGATTTTAAAAGCCTACAATTAGCAATATGATACAATAGAAGGAGATTGCTATTGTTAATTAGTAAAAAGATCATATAAAAGGTTCCCTTATAAAAGCACTTCTTCAAATTAAATTATAAGTTTATTAGTTTAAAAGCTCAATCAAATGGAAATATGTTTCCACAAAAAGAAGCTGGCCGTACTGGTTGGTGTCCCACATGCCAGAAGACTGGATAATAGAATAGTCCAGGTCTGTGCCGCCAGGAATCCAGGTGCTCATATCATTTCTATTTAGAAAGATATGTTTGTTCATTTCATTATAGTATGTTTTCCTCTTTAGGTGAGAACCATGTCAACTAAAAGTTTGAAGGCCCAGAATTATATTATGCTTCAGCACATGCTGATAAGTAACCATCCACCCACCACACGCCCCCAAAAGACATCAATATTGATTTAGGAATATCCAACAACAAGAAAAGGTCAACAGTATAGCCAATGCACAATATATATATATATTTTTTTTTTAAATAAAGTAATTCACTAATTCATATCACGACGAACTGCGTATGCAAGCGAAATTGCAATACAATCAGTTCAATAACAATCATCAAAACTGAGCACAGCAAAGGCAGCGAGTCAATGAGAAACTCCATTCCCCTAACTAAGTACAAGGCGACACTCCCTATTACCCACTTTGCCGCAAACTAACAATATCTGAAACAATTAACGCATTGGAGGCGACGTTACGAACCTCCTCATATAGAGTAATAGAATACAGGCTTTAAAAAGGTGTAAATTCATTGGCAAACCTTGACTGCCACTTCCTGATCGTCTTTCAATAAAGCATGGTGTACTTGAGCAATGGAAGCGGCGGCAACTGGTTGCTCATCGAATGAGATGAATCTGATTATCGTAGATACATAAGTCAACAAATCATTATGATTTACAAGTATAAATTGTTAAGCAGAGAAATAATCATGCTTGCTTATAATGGAATCAAGGAAAAGCTAAAAAGGTCAAGGTTGGAAGCTTAAGCCATTTATGGAACACAATAGTTGCAAAAAAGCTCTAATCTTTAATTTGAGACAATGTAAATGTCAAAATCAATTTTTGCGAATTCTGTCATAACTTCTGCATTCAAACAGCTAAGTTTGGGAACTTTTCCTTTAGACATCACATGCAAGTTAATTCTAGCAAATAGCTTTATCAAAATGCTACAGCACTGATCTCAAATACATCCAAAAAATTGCCATGCCCTAATTGACACTGGCCTGTAATCTTTCATAGCATTTTAAGTTGTTGATTTCGATTAACCGACGGAGTTAGGATGAATCCAAACTTCCGCAGCGCATACGAGGAAAGAGCTTTCTTTGGGGGGAAAAATGCCTTAAACATTGGGATGCAGCTGACACCAATCACAACTGTCTGATGTCCCCAACCTCTGGGTAAACTTAGGTTGTTGATCGAAGATACACGACAGAAGGAATTGTTCTATTTCCAAACTTCACCTTCAACAAGCGTAGATTTATTTCCACATACTCTTTTTCTTCTTTTTTTCTATCAGTTTGCTTTGAAGTCAACAATTAATTAGTTGAGCATTCTCCCAATCAAGTTTTTAGCAGTCAACAGGCAAGAAGAGAAACTTAAAAAGCTACAGACTAGAAGTTATTGCTTTGAACGGTTGATAGAGGAACCACCCCAACAACTTTGAAAGTAGGCCGCCTTGCTTCACTTTTTGTTAGGTTTACCAAGGCCAATGATTCTTTTGGTCTAGACTCTAGATCTGTACCACATTAATTAAAATTTCCTAAACATTTTCAGCAACTTCTATTTTTTATAATTATCTTATTATTTTCAATATTATTCTATCCAAAATTGTCAGAAATTGAAGTGAATGGGTCTCCCACTATGTCCAACAAGAAGGATGAGGCCCCTCACACTTTGACCTTTTAAGGTACTGGTCTTGTTTTCATTTGTAGATAGTTTTGGGCTGAATCCTGCATTGGACTACAGATTGTAAGGTCCTTGATCAATGCAAGCCCTATCATATCTATTTCGGGGCACGTATCTATCTTCTCCCTGCTTGTCCACTACCTAACAGTTAAGTTACTGCTTGATGCAGCATACAAAGTAAATATTACACAACAAATATTGCACAATGAGAATATTTTGCGATGCAAAACAACATAAAAATTATAAGCAACTCAACCATGAAGACTTTCAATTACACCAACACTTCTACACTTGCAAGAATTTCCTAGATCATTGCATATTGACAAATGGGGTTCAAAAACCAAAAAACCAAAGGACATAGATCAAAATATGATATAGTAACAGTTCATAATTCACCAGATAAACTGGGAAATAGGTCATAAGATATGATGACTAAGGGCTAAAAACAAGTTTAATGAATTACATTCATTAGCTAATCAGGAGTGATCAAGCTAAAACTGAACGCAATGAGAGCTATAAGTGTCTGCTACCATGAATAAGAAAACAGAGTTTGCATATGGTTGATAAGATGAGGAAGTAATAGAACTTAGCAAAAAATAAATTTATAATATTTTTTAATTTGCATGTTACAACTTACATCTCTGATAAATCCTTCCCCAAACTTCTGAATATAACATCTTTGATGGCTTTGAAATCACAAGGAACTGCCTAAAGCATCACCAAGCATGAAACAGCACATGACTTGTAACCAATGAAAACCAATAACATGCCACATTAATTTGCTCAAATACAACACAACTTCCATAAAACAGAGCTAAGAACCTGATCCTGTAAAGATGACATGGTTGACGAGTACTCTTTCGGAACTTGACGCATGGCTGCAACAAACTGACCAGCTTTGACATAGAGACCTTTGTTGGAATGGCACAATTTCAGTATCCTCTTTGCTGACCGTAGATGGATCTGGAAAGTCACAAAGTATCAGATTTTAAACAAAAAAAATTGTACTTCCTCATCTAATGCTCAGATGAAAACATCCACATTAAAAAGTTAATACCGTCTCCCTCAATATGTTGATTAGTGAATTCAACAACAACATTCTCAAGAGTAGCCATTTCTTTTTTTGAACTATGTGTGAACCTTTCTAGTTACCGCTGTCTGAGTTATAACATAAATATAGAAAATGTAAGTTTGGACCTTTATAGCAATTTATATGACCACAATAAGTTCATCAGCAATTAATGCAAGTCTAGTAGGTGTTACACCTAGTCATCATCTCGAAACATAGATTAGAAAATTTAAAACTTGGATGATATAAATGAGCCCATTTTTGCAGTTTTGCCTCGCAAGTATAGTTCCACTTATTCTTGTATGTCCATTACTAATTTAAATCAAATAGAAAATATACATAAATCATATTTACGATTAAGAATGAGCATAACATTGTGTAAAACTAATCGCCAAACCTCGGACAATGTAAGCCCATACTCATTGGAATCCACCGATAGCCCGTGTAACGAATACTTGTAATCGACAACACACGAAGTAATCTGCAACAAGCATCGAATCTTAATAAGTGCCCAAAATGCAGAGTAAAATAGTAAATTAAATGGGAAAATTAACAAAGAAAGAAGATAAGTACAGTGAAGAGGGCGCGAGAAGACCGAACGACGCCGTTTAATAAGTTGAAAGGGAAATTTAGTGTGTGACTATTGTGGGAGTTTTCAGGGTTGAGAGTTTGGTAAGTGAGCGTGACGAAACCAGTGGAGGCGATCAGGTACAGCGAGGTCCTGGCTGCAACTCTTCCTCCTCTTGCCTTTGCGCCAAACTTCAACAATCGAGTCATCTATCATATGAGAGTGCAAGCTATTGGCTGGGGGAGGGGAAACAAGACAGCGTAAAATGAAGAGATAAAAAATGGAAAATCAAATAGATTTAATTATTTTATTTGGAAATTTTTCGTTTATGACAAGTGTAAGATATGCTTTAATTGACTAGTAAGAGTTATTCGTCTTGACGTGAAATAATATATAAAAATGTATGCAATAAAAAGATCGCATAAATTCATATTTGTGAACTCTTTGATCACAAGTTTGTGCGTTATGAATAAAGTGTTAATCATAGTTATAAAATCTAAAGTGCATTCATTAGTCTGACCAGACAGTGTGTGTATATATATATATATATATTGTTTTATAGTCACAATTAATTGATAAATCTATTCTAAGAGGAGAAAATTTATTTCATTGTGTTGTACAATCATGACAATATTATTTGGAAAATTCCCTGTAGCGACCCGAATTTTAAAA